GAGAGAAGAGTCTCACGGACTTTCCTGCCTGGGCTGGCTTTGAACCGTGATCCTCAAATCTCAGCCTCTTGAATAGCTAGGATTACAGGTATGAGCCACCAGCCTCTGGCTGAAAGAACAATTCATAACATAGCTAAAATAGAGACTTTTTTCTGTTCCTGGTCTCCTTGGGAAATATTTTTCTCTGAACACATTTTGGAGCTCTCTCCTCCTACTTATCTCACCTGTGGGGGGTTCAGTAGCCCTCCCTGGCTGACAGTGGAATTAGAACAGCTGGTTTGGGGTTGGAGGTGTGGCTCAGTTGGCAGAGCACTAGCCATTAAGCAGCAGGTACAGTCTGGGGAATAAAAAAGAGAATAGCTGTCTTAGCTCTGTGCTCCTGCCTGCCTTAGAAAACAAGCCTAGAAGGTGACATGTTGGTGGGCAAAGGAGGCATCCACACCCACCCTCGGGAGCCATCGTGCCCACTGAATTTGAAGTGCGGGTGTCCTGCAGGCAGTTGGCGAGATGGGCCCAGGACTCTGCCGGAAGCCATCCGGGCTTCTGTCTTCCAGGCATGAGAGGATGGGGGCAGCAGGGCTTGCTGGGGAGAATGAAGCCCCTTGAGGGTGGAGCCTGGCACAAGCTAGAGTTTTGATGTACAGATAAGCTAAAGGATATCTGAATATCCATTTTTAGTGAAAGGTAACTCTAAACACTGGGGCAGATTCGCACATGGGAGAAGCTAGTTGCATGTATGACTTGGCTACCACTGACTAATTTACCAGTGGAATCTTTTATTGAGTTTTGCATAGAACAGTACTGTGAACTTCTTTTAAAATAAAAAGTGTACCGAACAAGGATGAACAAAGCTCAAAAATTTTTAGTAAAATGAGTTGCTGAGAAGTGGTTACTCTTGTTATGAGTACAATTAATACTATTCATATTCAGCCAGATAAATATCCAGTTACCAAGAGGTTATATAAAGTAATATAAGCAGTATAAAAGATATTATACTAAGGAGGAAAGGAACTGGCTTTGATACACAAGAAAGGAAAATTAGATAATGATCTGACTTTATAACAACTGAATTTTACTGTAGAAGATATTAGTAATTTCTATTAACAAGAACCTCAATCATTATTATTACCTTTAGTTATACATAGGAGTTTAAATTCAACTTGTTTATGAGAACAGCATCATCTTAGAAGTTCCCTTGGCTTTGTAGATGAGAAATAATTTTATATGTCTTTACAAAAGCAGTTAGATAAAATTTGGAGCACACAAGCCCCAAATAAATGTTCATTTCCAAGACTTACTTAGATGACGTGAAGGTGGTTTTGTTTTTCATATTTTTCCCATTCTGTGTCTATCCTTTATTAGTATTGGCTAATATCATCAAAGATATATTTAAAAGTATAATTTTATTCTGAAACAAGAGAAAGGAAACATGCATGCTGCAATAATGTCAGAGTTTCCAGGGGAGATATGAACTTGGTTGTATAAACACATTTTATTTGGGGTTCAGTATGAATTTTCAATAGATGTTATTTAGATAAGAAAGCAGCAATTCAATGCAGTTATATAAACAAGAAGCTCAGAGGGGAATTATGCTGAAGGGTATAAAATGGGCCAGGAGTCTGGGTCAGCGTAGCACCAGCTCACCAATGCAAAGTCAGGTAGGTGTCTAGACTGAGAGGCGCTGCCAGATGAGGTGTTCTCACTGCAGTCTTTCATTTTCACAATTGTCGAATTTATTTAAAACGTGCAAATATTAGGAGATAATTTTCTTTCATAGGCTCTAAGGTTTTAAACTTGTTGCATGGCTGGAGAGTGTGACTGAGCCATATAAGGTACAGTTGACTTTCCATCCACATGAGGAATGACAGCTGATGAAAGCCTTGTGGAATAGAGATTGATGTGTGTGTGCTCTATGTTTGCATTTCAATTTAAGTGGTTTTCTCCCTTGAATAATGATTATTAAATCTTAACTATTAATGGTCATCTTTGATGAAAATATTGCCCTGGGAAATCTTAGTATGGATTTAGGGGTAATATGCTCTGTCTTAAAAGGTATTTTTCAGTTATATAGTTGTGAAAAACTCCCCCTGCCCCTTAGGTAGTATCCAACCTGAACAATAGTTTATTTTGCTCTGCTTTGGTTTGCTGGACAATTGAGTTTTCATTGGACAGTAAGGAATCCTGAGAGAAAAGATGGGTAAAAAAAAATCAGATCAGAGAGAAATGTGTTTATTAAGAATAAAGAATAGGGGGTTGGGAAGGTGGCTCAGTGGTAAAGTGCTTGCCTCGCATGCATGAGGCTCTGGGTTCAATTCCTCAGTACCACATAAGCAGAAAAAAACGGAAGTGGCGTTGTGGCTAAAGTGGTAGGTAGAGCTCTAGCCTTGAGCTGAAGAGCCAAGGGACAGCACTCAGGCCTAGAGTTCAGGCCATGACCGACCAAAAAAAAAAAATGAATAAAGAATAGGGGATATACTTCATCACAGTGCTAAGGAAGTTATTTCCCACTGTTTGAATCCTGCCTGAATCCACCTATCCTTCATGTTTAAGCACTCAATAAGTTATTTATGAGGGCTTTAGAAGAGGCAATTAAGTTGCAAAGATGAAAATCCAGGCACAATAAAGAAGGAATTGTGATAGATAAGAAGGGATTAACCAGCACTGATTTATGTAGTATTGTGAACACATGTGTTTCAAATGTATGTATAAGAGAACTTCAAAAACAGTATCAAATTAGGAATGAGGTAACAATAGGATAATATTATAACACAGTTTCCTCCTGTAATTTAACATGGGAGAACTCTGACCATCAGGTCACCAAACCTCTGTTTTATATAGAATAGTAAAAGTTCAGACATGTAAAGTTCATTATTTTCTTTGGTGAAAACTCAGTGAACAGCTGTCCAGACACTTGAGAGTTATATGATTGTGAATGACAGGTATTTTATAACATTTATCCAGTTGATACATTTTTTGATTCTACAGAGGATCCTCTAAGTCTATGGCACTAATATAATAGGACCAATTCTATACCACAGAAGATCACATTTGCGAAGCACTTGAGAAAACCTGATTTGTGAGAAACAGATTCTTGTTTTCAGGCTGGGATTATAGTTCAGGGGCAGAGCAGGAAGCTTGGCATGGAGGAGGCTCCAGGTTTGGCCCTCAGCTAAAAAAAAAAAAAAAGCAACCAGACAGATCCTTATGCTTTTCCTTCCCAATTCCAATATCCAAATAACTCCTCGAGGAATTGCTTGAATATGCAATGGTGTATTTTATTTTTCTTTCTAAAGTGGTTTACACAAGAAAGCATAGTAAATATAGGAAATCTTTGATTGGAGTGGGTCTCAGAATCCTCTTTGCAGCGCTGAGAACAACCTGTTTCTATTATCTGTGTTCTACTTATTTGAGCCTCCACGGGACTGGCAGCTCTTTAGGTCAAGGGCCATCTTGTGTCCATTTCGTGTTTCTCAATGCATGGCTCAGATGCTAAATGTATGCTTATCTACCTTATCTGCAATTCTCATTTTAGGAATAAAAAACTGATGGGAATGACTACTTATCTGTAAAGCTTACATGCATAATAAATCCCTGTATAATGTGGTTTTCATTTTCTCTTGCAACGTTATTGGCAACAAAATTTTGGTTAACAGGGCTGGGAATGTGGTTTATTGGTAAAGTGCTTGCCTAGCATGAATGAGGCCCTGGGTTTGATTTCTTGGTACCACATAAACAAAACATAAATAAAATTAATTAATAACTTTTGGTTAACTACAGTTGACCATATGAGGTTTCCCTAAGTAGATGTTTTAAGTTTTAAATGGCTTAAAATGCCATGGGGCTGGGTGCTGGTGGCTCACGCCTGTCATCCTAAGCTTCCCAGGAGGCTGAGATCTGAGGATCACAGTTCAAAGCCAGCCTGGGCATGAAAGTCCATGAGACTCATGTATCCAATTAACCACCAGAAAACCAGAAATGGTGCTGTGGCTCAAGTGGTAGAGCACTAGCCTTGAGCTGAAGAGCTGAGGGACAGTGCCCAGGCCCAGAGTTCAAGCCCCATAACTGATTTTAAAAAAAGGATAACTGTTTTGATTGAATAAAAATGTTTACTGAATAAATAATAAACAAAACACTTAATTTGTGGATAATACTATTGTTCCATATAGTTAAATATTTTCTTTACTGATAACACTCAAGGAGTAAAAAGATCCAAACACATCTAGCTAGGTGCACAGTATTAGTAAAATAAAAAAATCTTAATCTTTGAAGTGATAAAGCTACATCTCAAAGTCTGAAATTTGATGACCCTCTTTCAGTAAGCAGAACCAGCATAACTAAGTCATAGCATTATCCGGGTCACAACACTGTTCAACTGACAGTGAACAACTTCTCCATTAGACAGGATTGATCAAGATGTGTATTCTGCTCTGCCTGGAGCTCAGTGGGTCCCCCACTTTTCCATGTATCCCCAAATATTGACTGTAGTCCCGTCTAACCCATAACGGATCTGCCATTCTTGCTACTATCTTCAGTGTATCAATATATATATATATATATATATATATATATATATATTACCTCTGTATTTTAATTGAGATTAGGTATTTCATATCTTTTCTTTGATACAGCTCTACTTCTTTCAACTTCAAGTAATATCCTAAGGGTCCAGAAGTATTCCTAACACCAGTCTAGTTTTAGCTGGCCACATGTGGAATTATATGCAAGGCTATAAGCACTAGAGTGCTAATAAAATTTTCTTAGTTCCTTGCCCTTTATGATTATGGTCTTTTAAGCTATTGAACAAAAACTCTCAGAAGATAACAGTTAAGTTTTTCCCTAGGACAAAGTAAGCATTCAACAAATGATAACCATTCTATGTGTTTTTCTACACACCCCCCCCCACACACACACACCATGCATATAAAAGCTTTCCCCAAACGTTTCTGAATGTTCTGAAGGATACATATAACAGCTTCTTTTAATTGTTTCTTTGATTTAGCATGAGTGCTATCTTCCTGATGTCCGTGCTTTTTGGTCTCACATGTGGGCAAGTGACATCTGTTTGTGTTCCAACTGAGTATACGATGTATGTGGACAGGAGGGAGTGTGCTTACTGCTTAACCATCAATACTACCATCTGTGCCGGGTACTGCATGACTCGGGTACGTAGTTCATCTCATTTCATTTACACGGAAATGAAATAGACCTGGGAGCTGTTCAACCTATCTAGAAAGGAAATGAGATGAATCACATCTGTATTTTTCAAATCTAATTGTGGCTGGCTCACGAAGAAATAGAATACAAAGTTTACAGTATTATGTACACTTACTCAGAACAAAGTAGGCAAGCTTTGAATTTTATTGAAGTTTGTGAATTTTTCTCATCAGATTGATTTAAACCTTATCTTGTTCTCATAATCAGAAATAAAGAATGTAGTATGGTGCTAAATTGGTATTAATGAATCGGATTAAAGAGTCTTCCTCTAGTCAGGTTTGAGACAAGACAATGTTGGTTTGATGTTTCTACCACCTATGTGTTTTCTAAAGTCCTTCCACACGGGCTCCTTTCCTATTCTTAGGATATCAACGGGAAGCTGTTTCTTCCCAAGTATGCGCTGTCCCAGGACGTTTGTACATACAAAGACTTCATCTACAGAACTGTAGAAATACCTGGATGTCCCCACCAAGTTGCTCCTTACTTCTCCTACCCAGTTGCTGTGAGCTGCAGATGTGGCAGGTGTGACACTGACTACAGTGACTGTATCCACGAGGCCTCCAGGACAAACTACTGCACCAAGCCTCAGAGCCCCTACCTGCTGGGACGGTCTGCCTGACTCCACAGTGGTGTCATTTCCAAAACTGGGTTAAATGTGTTTACCTGGAATTGAGCTAATAAATCATTCTGATTCCCAAGAACCTGTGGACGTTTGGAGTGCTTTTTAAAATTCATATTCACATCCACAAAGGCATTCGAGAGCTTGGAGAGGTGTTCAAAGCAAAAGTGAATGAGAAAGTGGAAGTGGCGTACAGAGCAGGGATATGAAATACGAATGAAGGCCGTGGGCTCCACACAGAAGCTGGGAGGTGGTGTGGGGAAGGTTGTCTGGACAGAGACACAAATGGGAGACAACCTCAGAATTCTGAGGAGAAAGTACTGCGATGGGAAGGGGAAGGGACCCTTGGCATTGGGGCACCAAAGACACCTTCCAAAGGCTTCTCTGCTTCTAATCAGGGCTGGGGTGGAAGTGGGGAGACAGGATTATGTTAAATCCGACATGTGATACTTTACCAACCCCCTGGATAAAACCCCACCCCAAATCAATGAGGAGTAATGGAAATATTCCCTTTAATTTAATTACTCTGGCAGGCCAATTGACCCATGAAAGTTATATCCCAAAAGGTCAGTTTACAAAGCCTAGAAAAGAGGTCACGATCATTTTACATGTGTACATCTAAATCCTTCATAGTCCTTCAGTAATAGGAGATACTTTCCAGCGTTTATACCAACAGCAACTTGTGCTATTTGGCTTTTGATATGCTGAAACACTAGTACAATTAAGAAAGGGTTGAGGGACAAGGGAGGGGCATTTGAATGAGACTCTGCTTTCTGCTGAGTATGCTTGGTACATTTTTCTTTTCCTTCCATAGATGCTTCCTTTAGACAGACCTAGACTGGAACTCAGAAAGACTGCTCATCCTCTCCATCATCTGCCATTTGCACTGCCACCCTACAGTAAAAACCAGTTGTCACCCAAGCCTTGCTCTAGTCCACAGCTACCTAAATGCCTATATATTGTAAGTACCCATGAGGGTGGGTGTATGGGCAGGCAGTGGAGAATTAGTATCAAACCCGAACTTGGCAATGGAGAAAGTTGTTATTCTTTACATACAGAAGAATCAGGAACCTACATCATCATCGTCGTCATCATCATCATTATTATTACCATTATCATGTGTGTGTGCAGTACTGGAGCTTGAACTTATCTTGAACATTCCCCCTTAGCATTTTTGCTCTACCATTAAGTCACAGCTCTACTTCTGGCCTTGTAGGTAGGTGGTTTTGAACCTTGATCCTCAGATCTCAGCCTCCTGTGTAGCTAGGATTATAGGCGTGAGCCACTAGTGCTTAGCTACATTATTTTCCCCTTTATATCTGAAGATAATATTTGTATGCTATCCAAATTAATATGGGTCTTGTGTTCTTTGATTACTTGATAATTGAATATTTGAAGCTGCAATTTCTTAAAACTTTATTAAATATATATAATAAGCAAAAAATGTAAAGTACAAACATAACTGGAACTAACCCCAAATAATTTTCATGCATTCTAAATTTTTTTTCATTGACTTAAACTATGGAAAAGCCAAGGAATTTGGGAAGATCTTTTATAAATATTCCAACTCTGAGAGATTTTAATTCTCTTTTTCCTTCAAATACATAAACAGGCCTTCTTTTGCAGAGAGGAAGCTAGGCCTGGCCATAGGTATTGTGGGCCAAACCATCATGAGGCATAAGAGCCTAGTGAGGGAGCATGAGAGACAACCTGATTCCTCTGCTTCAGGCAATCGATTTGGAATACATGCACAATTCATTTTCTCAACTATTCTTGAAAGTAGAGTTGTCCAAGATATAAAGTCCTTAGGCCAGAGCCTAGGGATTGGTGCAGCAATAATAACTTGTCTCAACTGGATTCAGAAACTTTTGAGACAGTGAGGTTCTTTGAAGACTCTTGTCATTTAGATTTAAGAAAGAGAGAATGGCCAGGCGCCGGTGGCTCATGCCTATAATCCTAGCTACTTAGGAGGCTGAGATTTTAGGATTGCGGTTCAAAGCCACCCGGGCAGGAAAGTCCATGAGACTCTTATTTCCAATAAACCCACCAGAAAACTGGAAGTGGCGCTGTAGTTCAAGTGGTAGAGCTCTCGCCTTGAGCTGAAGAGCTGAGGGACAGCACCCAGGCCCAGAGTTCAAGCCCCACGACCGACAAAAAAAAGAGAGAGAGAGAGAGAGAGAATGGTTAGACAGAGCACTTAGGAATGGAAAGGTGTCCAATAGAAAACTAGAACATTAAAGAGTAGCTATGTTGGCAGGAAGCATCATGGTTCTTTCTGGTAACTGGCAATTCTAATGACAGTCTTCTCAGAGAAGAAATTGTCTTCTTTCTCATTGTGTTAACTCTAAGTCTAAATACAATAACAATTCCTTGAGCAAGTAATTTCACTCTACCCCATTGTCCCATGTTGGAATTTTCTCTGCCCTCTAATCTTTGAAAATAATCCTTCTTTCTCCCTCTCTCTCCTCTGAGCCCCCTTCCCCCAGCACCCTCTTTCTATCCACTGTGTGCATGGAATAGTCATGTGTTGACTTTTGGGGGTTCTTGGCGCCTGCTTTCTGTCTCAGGGGTTTGAGTGGGGCTGGCAGGATGGCCATGCTGAGGCTCTGTCATCCCCTGCTGGTTAAGGATGCAATCCCTTCCAGAGGGGACTGCTCCCACAACCTTTAACCGAAAGAAGGAAAAGTGCTTGGCTCTTTGGGGTTCTTGTATTGACAGAAGTTGAGCCTGGAGCTACTGCTGAACTTCTTAGGTTTCTCTTGGAAACATCCACCATGGGGTAGGGGAACCAAACTAGATGATGAGAGACTGAGGAGAGACAATATCGCAGCCTAAAGCAGCCAGCTCCATCCTTCAAGAAATGTCACTTTTCTAATCTGCCCCTTGCACCTGGACTGTCCTGACTTGCGCATCTTTACTACTAGTATCCAAAGATATTTCTGCTTCCATTCCTCATCTCCTTTTCCTGCTTCTTTCTTGAGCCTTCTCGTCAGCATGAGAGAGCAGAAAAGAAGCCTATTTGGGCAGTCAGGGCAAAGGCCTTCTCCCATAGAGGTTCTGCATCCCTCACCATGGCCCTGTGAAGTCCTGTGTTCATCGTGGGCATCATGTGACCATGGCCTGAGCAGTCACATGTGCAGGCCCCTGGGCATCAGGTGATGGCCCATTGCCTCTGTTCCCTTGCATGTGAACGACTGACTGATTGGATTCCTGAAGTGTGTAGGAATGGAACCCAGATGGAGGGGCTAAAGGATGCATGGGGAGCTCATGCACCCTGGCTACAGCCTGGGATTGGCTCTGGAGGGTGGTACGGCCCGAAAGTTGCAGTTTTTCAGCGTCACTTTGATCTTTTTCCATCCTAAATAGATTTTCTTTAAAGCAAGCAGTCTCTCTTGATCCCGTGTAACCTATTTAGTGCTTGAATTTTTATTCTAGCTGTGTGTGTGTGTGTGTGTAAGAGCCAAAAATCCTAACCACCTACTTCCCTATTCTCTTTTCAGTACATTGCACTTTGGCTTCCACTTGTAGCCTTTCTTGAAACTTCTCAATAAAGGCAATGATGGTCCAGCACAAAGGACACCTGCTGCCATGACCTCTCTGTTTCCCCACAGGTCTGGTGGAGGCCACCTATCTGCATAAACTATTCCTTTAATCAGCCCTAGCGAGGATGAAATCAATCTTCTCTGTTTCATTGAGCCTCTTCTTTCTGCCCTTCTCCATAAGGATTCAGAATCCATGCTGTGGTCTGTAGTTGACAAGAGGAGTGTAGTTCTGGACTCGATGCTGTGAGGTGAAGATTCTAATCTTTGAATGGAGGGCTAGAGTTTTAATAGCCTTGTATCTTATGGACCCTTGGGATACTGCTAATGTAAGAAGCTATTGCCGGGCACCAGTGGCTCATGCCTGTAATCCTAGCTATTCAGGAGGCTGAGAACTGAGGATCACTGTTTGAAGCCAGCCAAGGCAGAAAAGTCCCTGTGAGATTCTTATCTCAAGTTAACTACTCAAAAACCAGAAGTGGCTCAAAGTGATGAGTACTAGCCTTGAACAAAACGAGCTCAGGGATAGCATCTAGGCCCTGAGTTCAAGCCCCATGACTGACAAAACAGGTGGGGGGCTATATTAAGGATTTTTAAGATCAACTCAAGCAATTTCAGAATATAGAAAATTTTAATCTGAAATATTTTGTCATGAAGTTTTAATTGAGGGTCTGGGCATGAGAAACTTAAGAAAATGTTTGGTCTGATCTCCAGTTAGTTCAGGTAAATAGAGATGATTGAAAAGGTATGCATACATATATGTGCAAGTGTATGTACATACAGACCCATATAAACCCATGTACATGTCTTCACATCACATGTGTATGTACTCCAGATAGGTATTCAACATATGTTTTTTCTAAATCTATAAGAATAATATATGTAGACAAAACTCTATACATTTAGTACACATGTATATATAGGCACACCTGTGTGTGGCCATATAGGAGTATATATATATATATATATATATATACACACACATATATATATATATGTAAGTGCACATACATATGCATATGTGTACGCACATATAGTGCTCTGTATAGACATCTCTGACTTATATGGCAGCACTGGGGTTTGAACTGAAGGTCTCATTCCAATAACAGGGGCTGTATTACTTAAGCCACACCCTGTTAAGTATTATGGGCTTCTTGAGTTCGTTGAAACAGAATAAAACTTCTGTAGAACTGGACACACTGCTGAGCTGGATGGACCTCAGTATTCACTTAGTTCCTGTCTTCAGGAAGACAGATAAAATCTACTAAGAGAGATGGACTATTCTTTGCTTCAAATATTACATTTATCTGCTCCTGGGGTACAAACATACACTTTATGATGTGATTTTTTTTTTTTTTTGCTGGTACTGGGACTTGAGCTTAGGACCTCACACTGTCACTTGGGTTGTTTTGCTCAAGGCTGGTCTCTACCACTTGAGCCACACCTCTACTTCTGGCTTTTTAGTAGTTAATCGGAAATAATAGTCTCACAGATTTGTCTGCTCAGGCTGGTCTTGAGCCCCAGTCCTCAAATCTCAGTCTCCTGAGTAGCCAGGATTATAGGCATGAGCCAACAGTGCCCCACTCATGATGATCTTTTCTTTACCTACAGACACAGCAAAGTACACATAGTGAGCATATACAGCTCCAATTATTTTTCTAGAAGAGTCTTCTCCAATGTGAGAGGCAATAGCAAGCATGTCTGGAAGGGAAGTAAGCTCTCTGGATGCAAGGCTATTTCTGACACTGGATCCTTTCAGCAAAATGGTTTCTTAGTTTCTTGGGAACCTCTCATTTCTTTGAGAACACACTGAAGGGCTGGGAAGGTGGCTCAGTGGTAGAGCGCTTGCCTTGCATGCATGAGGCCTTTGGTTCAATTCCTCAGCTCCACATAAGCAGAAAAAAAAGCCGGAAGTGATGCTGTGGCTCAAATGGTATAGTGCTAGTCTTGAGCTGAAGAGCTGAGGGACAGCACCCAAGCCCAGAGTTCAGGCCCCATGACTGGACTCAAAAAAAAAAGAGAACACACTGAAGTTTGCACTCTGACACGCACAGAGCCTCTTATAGGAACTAAGGAGTCCCCAGTTTCCCTCCTGTGGGGCCTTTTAACATGCAAATTAAGAGAAAGCCCATAACTAACTAAGTGTAACAAGGTGTTAAAAATGACTAGCAAACAGACCCAGTAAGATCCTAACTTTGGGCTGGACACCAGTGGCTCATGCCTATAATCCTAGCTACTCAGGAGGCTGAAATCTGAGGGTCACAGTTCAAAGCCAGCCCAGGCAGGAAAGTCCATGAGACTCTTACCTCCAATTAACCACCAGAAAACCAGAAGTGGTGCTGTGGCTCAAGTGGTAGAGTGCTAGCCTTGAGCAAAAAAGCTCAGGGACAGTCCCCAGGCCCTGAGTTCAAGCCTCACAATTGACAAAAAAAAAAAAAAAATCCTGTTTGGTTTTATCCACCTAAAAACAAGTATTAAGACTATAAAAGAACCGGAACATCCTATTTTCACAGTAGATTTGCAGAGAAAGAACATCTTTACATTGTGTCCTTGTGAATGTTTGTTTCTTCAGCATGTCTCAGTGTGTGTACAACTAGAAGATGTTTTTGTTTATTTCACTTTGGCCAAGGATCCTCATAAGGTATCAGTTATTTATTTGAGGTGGTAAAAACTACAGTTCTTAATCTAAAAAGAAGTATTCTCTGGGAAATAAATAAGAAAAAATATGTTAATAAAAAACAACTAGAAAAAATGTAAACTCAAGTCTGAGGTATTTCAAAGAAAGTGCCCGTAAAAATTCTCCTTCCCAAAATTGACAACTCCAGACCTATTGCTTTGGTCTTTCTGTACTCACATGCAGAGAGTCTGAGATAAAAAGCCCTTTTTGAGGAGGTGAGGATAGTGGGAAACAGTTTAGTGCAGAGCCAGAAAAGGGATGGAATAAAGTCAGACTTCATGTCTTTGTAGAAGACCAAAAATATTTCCTTAAAATTTGCCCATTTTTCTTTTAGCCTAAAAACACTTTTATAGGGCACATGCGTATGTGATCTACTCTTTCCAGAGGGAGGTTATTTACTTAGTTTTTTAATACTGGGAATCATTACTTGTTCAAATTAGATTTTCCATGCTATATTTAATTTTGAAGAAGGGTTTGGTTCTAAGCTGTGGTTTACTGTAGTCGGGGGTGAGCATGTATAAATTAAAAGAAATACCCTAAACCCTTATTTCTGAACTGAAACATTGATTTTGACACAGATCTGTCTCCCAATCTCTAAAACTCATTGTTTTCATTAAGTAGAAATCCTACCACTTCTATGTGCATCTAACTTTTGTAGCTGAAGTCTGAGAAACTGATTTACTGTTATTTTTTTTAATACCCAGGTTTCTCAAACCTTTTGATCATTTCTAAAGTTAAGTAGGTTGTTCCTCTAATACAACAAGAACCAGGAATTCCCAGCAGATAGATTTCATTCTTATCACAAATGCATATACCAGAAACACACAGCTCGCACGTGAAAATGTTCTCAGTCAGCATTCACAGACGTTCTTTCCAGGAGAACCCCAGTAATGAGTCAGACATCCATACATGTGCAAATGAACAACTGGCAGCAAATTATTTTCAACCCCATTGTCCTGTGCATATCAAAAAGGAACCAAGACAGCTCTGTGACATTCAGTACGAGAGTTCTAGATTGCCATGTTCGTGCTCAAGTTAGCTTCAGATCACGTCGCGTGAGTTTCGTATTGCACAGCAAAGGACCATGCTGAATATCATGCCGAAGATCTGAAATAGACAGACCTGATCATTAAGGACAGCCAGACAGGGTTCAACTGTCAAAAAGGCAGCAAACTGCTGAGCCATTTCAAGTCAATGCATGATTACAACCAAGGATGAGGCTTGCAGTAATGCTTTGTATGTAATATCCCATTTATTTTTCACAATAATCTTAGAAAGTTGGTTTGTTAAATATCCCCACGTTAAGGCTGAGCACTGGTAATGTGCCTGAGGCTGAGATCTGAGGATCTGAGGATCATGGTTCAAAGTCAGCCCAGGCAAGAAAATCAGCAACACTCTTATCTTCAATTAACCACCAAACAAACAAACCTGAAGTGGAGCTGTGGCTCAAGTAGGAGAGTAATAGCCTTGAGCACAGCTATTATGCCTACGTCCCGAGTTCAAGCCTTAGGAGTTCAAGCCTTAGGCCTGGCACAAACACACATACTTTATAGATAAGGAAATTGCGAAATATAGAAATGAAGCAACTTTCCTATAATTCCAGGACTTCTGTAAGTACTGGAGCAAGCAGTGGAGTCAGATGTCATGTGAAAACTCTCCCTGTTAAGCTGTCCCAGGCCTGTGCTGCCTCTTCAAAGCAGAGGACAGAGTCACCTCCTAACATATTTCCTTGAATTGAAAACTTGCCTAGGTCAGGGCTGGTGTGCTGACAATGGAGGTCACCACAATGCAAACACAGTATCCTAGTCAGGACAACACTAAAGTCTGTATGTTTACAGGGCTACTGATGGGTAGACTTAGTTTTTGTTCTTTGAAGACTGCTATGAGTCCCTGTCTCTGTTCTCTATGGCAATTGTCCCTTAAGTTACTGTCATCTTATGCTTGAAGAGAAATCAAATGTGAATGTTCAAGGCTTCTTAATGGGCTAAAAAAAAATAAAAAGAAGTTCTGGAACTTTCTCACCGTGAGGCCTGCAATCCCAACACCGACAATTCCAATGAGCTGTAGCTTCACACAGATGACAGTGTCAATTTCATCAATGCAATTCTGTTTAGGAAGGGAATAAAAGTTAGGAATAGACTGGTTATGTGTGGACCATCCTCACTCCAACCCTTTCCTCCTCTACTGATAGTTCTGTGACTCAATCCACATCAACTCTGCCCTCACGCAGACCACTGTCTTCAGAGTATCATCCTGACATCCTTACAGCAAAAGTGTGGTGTGCCAAAGATCCATACTCTCCTTTTGCACCTGTATGGGCCAGGCGCTGGCAGAATGCTTGGAGGGCAAGAATGCCACAACCTCCCCAGAGGAGGCATTTCTATGGGATCTGAGACAGTTTAGAGTTTGAGGCCTCTTCTTGCTTTCAGCAAATAAGAATAAAGTCCCCTAAAACAACAATTGCTCATGTTTGGTTTTGTTGTGTTGTTGTTTGTATCAATACTGGGGCTTGAACTCAGGACCTTGCTCCCTCACTTGACTTTTTTGCTGAGGGCTGGTACTCTACCACTTGAGCCATACCTCCACTCTAGCTTTTTGCTGGTTCATTAGAGATAAGTGCCCATCAAGGCAATCATTACCTATTAAGAAACTGAAAGGCTGGTAAAGGTACATACAAATGAAACAAAGGAAAGCCACACCTCAGGAAAGCCAGGTCTTTGGAATTTGAGAACCTGTCTCTCCTGTGGAGAGTCTGGGTCCAAAAGCCCTCCATGGAAGGGGAGGCAGACAGGGAACAGAAGAAATCACAGCTTTATGATCTTCCTATAACTTCAAATGCTTCTGCTGGAGTCCTCCAAGCCCGGTGTGCACTCACCAGCCAGCACCCACGGAGCCCTAGTCTACCAAAGAAACCACTGCCCACCCCTCTTCCGGCAGCTAGCTGGGTCTGAAATCATCCTCCTTTGTCAAACCCAACCCAAGGATCCCCTTTATGATGAGGAGCCTGCCTCTGGTATAGAGGCACAGCCTACTCTGTCACTCACACTGCTTTGCTTTTATTTGCCACTGAATAAAGAAAGGCCCAGAATGCAGAGGACCCGAGCCTGACGGTGGCCACGGTTTCCACTAGGAGGCGCTGGCATGTGGGAAGAGGCTTACCTTATGGCCTGGAAGCTCCCTGGGGCACGTGGATTGGACCTGTTCAGAACTTTCTTTTCCGCAACACTGAAACTGAAGAAGACAAGAGGCTTTAGGATAGCGCAGCAGCAACTATCTGGCCTACGCTTCTGGGTGGGGCTTTCTCATCCACGGTTCCCCAGGGAAGGCCAACATAGTCTCCCCAGGGCTAAGACAAGAGGCTGCTACTTCATTTTACTGATTTTATTTCTATTCCTTTTTGCTTTGGTTTCTTCTGCTGGCACTGGGGCTTGAACTCAGGGTTTTGTGCTCTCACTTGGCTCGCTTGCTTATGGCTGGTGTTCTACTACTTGAGCCATACCTTGAGTCTAGCTTTTCGTTGGTTAACTGGAAATGGAGCCTAACAGACTTTTTCTGCCCAGGCTGGCTTCAAAACTCAATTGTCCCATCTCAGCCTCCTGAAGAGTAAGGATTACAGGCCTGGGCCACTAGCTGTGTTTATTTTTAGTCTAGATGATGAACAAGAAGTTGGCGTGTGCACAATCTTCAGAAGACGGTATGTCAAGGGTGAAGTGAAGGAACTCACCGCAGAGTGGAAGATGATGAGGGTTCCATTTCCCCTTTCCCTGTCTTTAAGGTAATCGCTGTAAGCCTCTTCATACATGGTCTGCACGTGTCTTATAGCCTGCAAAAACACCAGGAAAAGAAAGGCACATGGGAGGGAAGTATCCAGGAGTCACCCCTCTCCCATGCCTTCCACGTGCTTCCTGGTGCTTTAAGAGGGGTCAGCATTGATAGAGCGGAACACAGGTCCTGGATGTCCTACGATGCAGTGGAGCCCCGCAAGACTGGCTAGTCAGCAACGGTGTTCACACACTAGCGACATTTCCCAGCACAAAGGCTCCCCATGCTGGCAGGGCTTTAGCACCAATAGGGCCCGGGTTCCTGGGCTCCACCTGGGGGTTTTGCTGCCCTGCTGATTGGAACCAGCATTCAGAAGGGGAGGTGTGGCTCAAGTGACAGAGTGCCAGCCTACAGCAAAAAAAGCTAAGGGAGAGTTTGAGTTCAAGCCCCAGGAGCAGCACCAAAAATAAGTAAGTTGTTCATTGCTAAGGAAGACTATGCATTCAAGTACCATGGAGAGCTTAGGTAATGCTTTCTGTAGTATAAAGGCATATGACCCAAATTCACAGAAATTTCAAGAAGTCCTGAGATCTAGTTTCAGTTCTTCCTAGAGCTAGATATAGCCAGCTGTGTTAGAAGCACATGCAAAGGAGGTGACATTTACTCAGTTTACCATTTGTTAGCGTTAACGCCATGAGCTGCAATGAAAGCTTAGGAATTAACCTGCGATGTGGCAGGCACATGTCAGGTTCCATTCTGCTCAAGCCTGCCCATGTTTACCCTCTGAGAAAGCCTCTTCCTTTATGGGTTCCCCTGAGAACCATTCTGGACACTGAGGCGTGGGGCAGCAAGTCTAGACCACTTCTAGTCAGGTTTGTCTTTGGCAAACTTTAGAACAAAGGACCAGCTGATAAAGATGAGAATTAAGGTTGTCCCCCCCATCCCTTTGGCACCTTAAATCTATCATCTAACGCCTTCCTCAGCACTAACTAGGACTAATCTTTGAGGATTTTTTTGTTTTGCTTTATTTTTGGTGCTAGTACTGGGGTTTGAACTCAGGGCACTGTCCTTAGCTTTTTCACTCAAGATTGCTCTACCACTTGATCCGCAACTTTATATTTCCAGCTTTTTTGCTGGTTAATTGGAGACAAGAATATCATGGACTTTTTCCCCTGGACTGGCTTTGAACCTGGATCCTCAGATTTCTTAGCCTCTTAAGTAGCTAGGATTAAGGCATGAGCCACCAGTGCTCAGCTTCCAAAGCAAGACTAATATTAAAATAAATTCTTTTTTTTTTGTCAGTTGTGGGACTTGAACTCTGGACCTGGGTGCTGTCCCTCAGCTCTTCAGCTCAAGGCGAGTGCTCTACCACTTGAGTCACAGTGCCATTTCTGGCTTTCGGGTGGTTCTTTGGAGATGGGAGTCTCACAGACTTTCCTGCCCAGGGCTGGCTTTGAATAGTGCTCCTCAGATCTCAGCCTTCTGAGTAGCTAGGATGACAGGTGTGAGCCACTGGTGCCTGGCTAAGATAGAGATTCTTTAAAAAAAAAAAAAAGCATAGAGCACTTTATAAATCTAAGGAAAGCTATATGAACCAAGTCCCTAGAGAAATCTCACAAGTGCTCTTACTTATGTGCACTCCGAGGTTAAGAAGTTCCTCTTCAGTGATCATTTGGCCTACTTGGTTTCCTACATTTTTGTGCATGAATATTCTTTCATTCTTTGCCATAAAGAGAATGTAAGCATCATTAACATACAACATTGTAGGTAAGTTTTACTTACTACATCCTTGCCTATAAAAGCAAATACTCCAGTGGTCACTTCAGCAGCAAATATCACCAGCAGGCAGGTAAAAAACTGTTGAGAGAAAATACTAATTTCATTAATTTAATACCTTTCACTTCCACTAGTGTCTTTGGATCTGCTCCACTTGCAGGACATCAGCAGGGAGCGCTGGCCTTTGGGCAGCGTGCACCCCTTGGTGCGGTTCACCCTCTCACTCAATCCCCACGCACCCACGGGGCATCTGTCCATTGGGTACCTCACCACACCAGGCACACATGGTAAACTTGGTGCCAACGTCTCTGCTGTCGCTAAGGTGAGATGGGCAGGGAAAGAAATACAAATGAGTCGAGGTTCATCAGTGGCATGGAGACCGCAGCATTAGAGTGGTGTCTGGACCCTGTGTGTGCAGCAGAGATGCTCTGCAGAGGGCAAGAATAAGGGCTGGGGGCCGTCACCAGGGCCATCACCGGGGTGGCTGGCTGGGCAACTGTGGCGGGAGCTTTGTGGGCTGAGAGGCTTCTCTGAGCAGAAGGACAGGGCATGGGTGAGGAGGGTGTGGGTGAGGGATAAAGAGGAGTGTGCTGTGAGGTGTGGTCTTAGGGGTGTGGGGTAAAGAGGGGTGTGGGGTGAGATGAGGGGTGTAGGTAAAGAGGGGTGTGGGTGAGGGGTGAGGGGGGTAGGGTGGGTGAGAGGTGATGGGGGTGAGGGGTGTGGGTGAGGGGGGTAGGGTGGGGGTGGGGATATGGTTGAGGGGTAAGGGTGTGGGTGAGGTGTAGGGTGAGGGGTGATCCTCAGATCTCAGCCTCCTGAGTAGCTAGGATTACGGGTGTGAGCCACCAGCGCCCAGCTGCTTTTTATGTGATTGTTGTTGTTACTGTCATTATTATTATTGTTCATAGAGGCTGTGGTCACACCAGCCACAGAGGGACGTTCGCCACATCGCGGTCCTGGCCAGCAGTGCGGTTCCCTGAGGCGGGCCTCGGTGGAACTGTGCCGCTCCTGCCTGGGGCCGACCCAGAGACGCGGGACTGAGCCCTCGCGGCCCCGAGCCCGGACCCCGCCGCCCTGCTGCCCGCGAGCCCCACTTACGGATCCCAGCACGCACTGGGACTCCCGCACAGCTCCGCAGCACCCGAAGAAACCCATGGCCATCATCAAGGTCCCTGCTCCGACCAGCACGTAGAGGCCTGTGGACAAGAGCGGGCCGGGTCAGCGCCCAGGCCGAGGGCACGCCCACCACCAGGACTCTGCCACGCCCCCACTGCCACGCCCACAGCGGCCTCTGCCACGCCCACCACCCCTCGTGCTCGGCCCTGTAGCTCGCACATGCGCTGTGCGCATTTAACCTGGGCCTCGTGGGCCAGGCGTCCCGGGCTTGGCTTTGCTCGCTTTGTGCGGGATCGGGGCTTGGACCAGGGCCTCCGCCTAGGACGGGCGCCGCCCTGCCGGAGTACCGCGTCGCCTCGGGTTTCTCTGCTGGGTCCCCGAAGACCGCAATTTGTATTTGCTGCCCGGGCTGGCCTCGAACCACCATCCTCAGACCTCGGCCTCCTGAGCCACCGGCGCCAGCCTCACGCTTGAGGCAGGCAAAATGGATTCTGGAAAGTGCGGCAGCCTAGCCCCGGTCTCGGGTCTGAGAAGTCCTGCCCAGGCCAGAGGCCCGCCTCCCCCTTCCTCCCTCTTCCTCCAGATCCAGATAAGACAACACAATGGGTTGGCGGGCGCCCACCTCGGCTGCCCCTGTTTCCTCTTCTGCATTTTACTCCGGTGAGTCACTGGGACGGCGGGGCGGCGTCCTGCCGGGCTGCGGGGCAGTCTGTGCCCCCCTTCCCCACCCCGCCGACCTGGCCGGGGCGCAGGCTGCCCCTCCTGCCCCTCCCCAGCCTTGGGGGCCTGGGGAGGGCGAGGCGCCCGCCTCCGGCCCGGGGCCCCACGGAAGACCCCCGGCCCTCGCTGCCTCGGGAGGCTGTGGGTCGGGTGAGGAGCCGGCCACTAGATGCGCTCGAGTGGCGCTGAAGACGCGAGGAGCCGGCGGCTCAGGAAGTGGAGCGCCAGCCCTGAGCGGGGAGAACGTGAGGTCCTGGGTTCGATTCCTCAGCACCACATCAGCAGAAAAAGCCAGAGGTAGCGCTGTGGCTCAAGTGGTAGAGCTCTGGCCCAGAGTTCAGGCCCCATGACTGACCAGAAAAAGAAAAGCAAAAGCGTGGAGGTGTGGAAGCCGTGGTTGCGGGCCAGGACGTGGGGATCTCAGCCTGTTAGGTTTGGCCTTCTGGAGAGACCGTGCTGGCCTTGGCCATTGGCTGCCCGGGCAGCAGCAGCCAGTGAGGACAGGAAACCCAACCTCAAGACTGCTCCTGGCCAGTCCTGGCCAGTCCGCGCTGAAGGAGGCAGGCCAGCCTGACATCCAGTGCGGAAGGTGGCAGGCCAGTCTCACGTCTACCAGGGAAGGATGCAGGCCAACCCCACGTCCAGCCCCGAAGGCTACTTTCCCCACATCCAGCCACAAGCCAAGCCCAGCCCTGGCTCCGATGGCATGGAGAGACGACTGCCCTGGAGGAGGCAGCCCCTATGTGTGCGGGCAACCCCTGGTGGAGAAGCTGGCTCATATCCTCTGCCTGCAGACATGACCTCACGGGTGCCTCTCTATACAACTGGACCCTGGGATGTCTGCCCATCAAAAACGCACCCCGAAAGAGGCTGGGTAGAAGTTGGGGGTGGGGGAAGGCAGGCTACTGAACCCAGGAGGCCTGGGGTGGCTGAGAGACTAGGGTGGAGACCATCCAGGGGCCCTGGCTGCTGACCCAGCGCCAGCACTGCCCCTGCCAGCCTCTGAAGCCAAGGGACACAGGTGCACTGATCTAGGAACAGTACAGGGGAGGGGGAGAGTTGTGGGGGCGGGTGTCTGACAGGCTGTCCATCTTCTCCTGGTTTTTGGTATGACTCTGGAGCCTGGGACTGTGCTGGCTGATGGACTGTATTTAGATTATATTGATCACATTGGTAGATTAATTGTATTATATTATACTTAGGTTATATTGGTAGGTTACATTTTTTTCTTACATGGAGGAACCTACAAACAGTAGAGGACTTCTGCTCCAATTGTAACATCCAAGAAATTAAATTAACCATAAAGAGATTTTTAGGATAAACAGACATTTATTACCATTCAGAGTGCTGTGACACTTCTAGATTTCACCCAATTCAGGTCTCACTCAGGGTCTGTCTTTATATTGTTATTTTTTGTGTGCCAGTCTTAGGGCTTGAACTCAAGAGCAGCACTGTCCCTTAGCTTTATGTACTTAAGGCTGATGCTCTACCACTTCTGACTTCTGATTTTTTGCTGAATATTTGGAGTGAAGAGTCTCACAGACTTTCCTACTTGGGCTGGCTTTGTTTGAACTGTAATCCTTAGACCTTAGCCTCCTGAGTAGCTAGGATTACAGGTGTGAGCCACCGGTAGGGCTAGTTTGACTTTCAGAATTTATTCAGGGGATAAGAGGTGTTTGTGAATGTTTATTTATTTATGCCAGTCCTGGGGCTTGAACCCAGGACTTGGAATCTGTCTCTGAGCTGTTTTTGCTCAAAGCTAGCTCTCTACCACTTGAGCCACCCTTCTAGGCCCTCGTTGTGATTTTTTTTTTTTGGTCAGTCATGTACTCTGGGCCTGGGCAGTCTTGGGAGTGAAAAGAGAGGGGCCGTGTGTGGGTGTGGCCCTCTCCCCCAGTGCCTGTGTCTGCCTCGCAAGCCACGTGGGGCTGGGGTGCGGGCTCGGCCCTCTCTCCCTGCCCCTCCCCCAGAGCCTAGGAGGTTTCCACACCAGGCTTTAGCAGTCCATGTCAGGCTTAGGCAGCCACCACTCACCCACGTGGAGATGCTCTGGGTACTTGTCCTCCGATGGTAAGTCCTTTGTGGAGCCTCCAAACCGAAACCACAGTCCAAATGCAATGACAGCTGAGCCAGCCAGCTGAAAGGCAAACCACAAGGCATTGGACGGGACGGGAGAGGGCGTGACACACCTGGACGGGGTGGGATGCCGGGTACCTGGGCTGCCGTGCACCGTTCAGGGGAGGAGAGCCCCCTCAGGGCCTGTGGTCAGCACTGGGCTTTGCTGGTCTCTATGCCAAAGCTGCTGGCAGGCCGTGGTGGGGTGGGGAGTGGGTGCATCTCCCTGGCATCTGCGCCCTGCCTGTCCCCACACCCCCTCACAGCAGCCAGCCTCCGTGCCAGGTCACTAAGCACAAAATGAACTCCAAGACCTGGGGCACCCACTTTTCTGAGTTAGATGTGCCAACTCTTTGCCCACCCACAGTCCTCCAGGGAGTCTCCAATTAGAGGGTCACCTTCCCAGCCCCCGCTTCTACAGGCAGCATCTGGGCCTGGTCCCCGCCACCCCCCCCCCCCCTCCAGTTGCTATTTTGAGTATCCATGGAAAGTGAGGAAGGAAAAAATACTTCTCTGAAAAAGCCTGGTCTGTGCACTGTGCGGCTCCCGGAGCGACCGGCAGCCAGTGCCCCGCACCCCCCCCCCCCCCCTCCAGGGCTTGCATCTACACTGGCAGCAGTGTTCTGCCATCGGAGCGCCTTCACAGCCACGCTGCCCTCCCAGACACCACGCTAGAGTATCACCCATTCACATGCACTCCCTGGGCACCTTCTGGGCAAGAGGCACTACGGGAAAATAAGCAAGAGATACAAAAATATCTTCCTGCGTCCACTGCCCCAGCTCCCACCAAACAAGGGAAGGGAGAGGCTGCCTGAGCCCCACATGGGACAAGAACCCTGAGATGTTGGCAGCAGGAAGACAAGAGGAGGAATTGGAGAAGAGGGAAAGGCCCTGGCCAGGTCAGACAGCCTGGGTACTCAGCATAGGATTCCAGCTGCACTTTGTGACGCTTCCAGCGCCAGCCCCGAGGGCCGGAATTCCAGGCATGCTGTCCCTCTTCACCTTCTGTCCCCCAAGGCCAAGATTCCCGGCTTGGGGTCTTCAGAAAAGTAGCAGCATTCAGTGGGGTGCTTGAGGGGCCTGCTGGGAATACCAAAAGGTTTCCAGCCTCAGAGGAAGGCGCGAGTTAAGACAGCATGAGGGATGGGGCGTCCAGGGGAACCCCACTCCCCCGCCTGGGGGCGGGAAGGGGCAGCCTGGCTAGGAAACACAGAGGAAGAAAAAAACGTGTGTAAACATGCACTAGATTTATCTTTGGAGGGTCGGGTTACAGGTGGCTTTCTCCCTGTCCATAGTTTCCAAGTGTTGAGAGTGAGGCACGAATTACTCTACCAAGCTTAAAAACAGACTTTTCCAAGAAGCCTCGCACGGTCATTTTGATGTTCAGTGTGGAAAATGCAGGCAGTTTTTCTGGGCACCAGCTCCAGGGTGGTGGCTGTGGCTCCACAGGCGGTGGGGGGCATGGAACCCCGAGGGAGGTGCCTGTCCCGGGACAGGCCTGCTTAGCAGAGCCTCAAGGTAGCCCCCCCCCAAGGTGACCCCCTCAGTGCCTGACGGGAAAGGCCATTTCCAAAGCACCATCTATTGACAGAGGCTGGGAGCCAAGCGGGCAGCCACCAGGCAGACTGGAGGAGGTGGCCGGTCCCAGGGTCACCCCACCCCCAGGCCACATTTTTGGAATCTCTGTCTACAGACTCTAATTTATGGCCGTCTGGAATCGTCTTTCCAGACGGAATCCATTTGTCCAGCGCTGGCACAGATGTGTTTGATGCATAATGGAAAATTAGAAGAGAGGTTGCGATTTAAAGCCCTGGAACGTTGGCTCTCCGTGTCCCCCCCCCCCACCACCACACGGGTTTCCTCCTGGTCAAGGAGCTGTGGCTGCCGGGACCACGCCCTCTGAGGGATTCCTCCCACCGCTGCCACAAGGAAATACCAGGCGATGCTGGGGCAGCAGTGACAGTTGGCTCTGCTTTGCAGAGAGACGGAGCAGAGACCATGGGGCTGCTCCTCCTCCTCCTCCTCCTCTCCTTCTTGTTCTGAGCTTGAACTCAGGGCCTGGGCATTGTCACTGAGCTTTTTCTGCTCAAGGCTGGCGCTCTACCCCTTGAGCCACAGCTCTACTTCTGGCTTTTTGTTGGTTACCACCTGGCCCAGAGATAATTCTTTAAGAGATGGCTCTACCAGTCGGCTTGGCTCCACTCCTGGACACCAGCCAACCAGGCCACCAAGAGCAAGTGGCTGCCACTCTTGGACCAGACACCTGGCAGAAGCACCCCGGGGGCCTTCTAAGCACCTGTGGGGTGGGCAGCCAGAGCTTCCCTTCCTTCTCCCGCCAGGACCAGAACCCCCTCCTCCACACTGGGCCACTCCCTCCATAGCCAGTGCACTTCCTTGGGAAAGCCTGGCCTGGCCTGGTGTGTGCCTCCCTCTCACCCTGCTATGTAAATATTTCTGGGGAAGCCAGGTGCTGGTGGCTCACACCTGTCATCCTAGCTACTCAGGAGGCTGAGATCTGAGGATCGTGGTTCAAAGCCAGCACAGGGAAGAAAGTCCTCGAGACTCTTATCTCCAATAAACCACTAGAAAACGAAGTGGTACTGTGGCTCAAATGGTAGAGCACTCGCCTTGAGCTCAGGAACAGCACCGAGGCTCTGAGTTCAAGCCTCATGGCCAACCTATATATATTTCTGGGGGTCTGAGTTCAGTGAGGGCAGGGGCAGATGGTCTGTGCCTCACAGGGCAGAGCTGGGGGTGGGGTCTGAGGGCTAGGACTGTGCAGGGATTGCGCTGAGTCTTTCCAGGTGTGAATACTGAAGTCCTTCCAGGTGTGAATACTGAAGTCCTTCCAGGTGTGAATACTGAAGTCCTTCCAGGTATGAATACTGAAGTCCTTCCAGGTGTGAATACTGAAGTCCTTCCAGGTGTGAATAAAGAAGTCCTTCCAGGTGTGAATACTGAAGTCCTTCCAGGTGTGAATACTAAAGTCCTTCCAGGTGTGAATACTGAAGTCCTGGCCCAAAGCAGTGGGAACTGGGGATAGGAGGAGTCAGGGTCAGGGCTAGGAGGAGTGCTAGGGGCAGACCTGACGGGACTGTGCTCTCACAGGAAGGGCCACCACAGAGAGAGCCTGCTTGCCACGCAGGCAGGTGAGGGATGGGCCATCCCTCCTGAGGTCCTAGGCTCCCTGGAGAGTACTGCATGTACACAGCCCGCTCTGGGACAGGATCACACGTGGATGGAAAGGACGCTCCAACCTTCCAAATGTGGAGACAATGCTCGCTTGGGGGATGGTTCTCCCTGAGATGGTAGGGATGAGCACGCAGGACGTGGTTCTCCAGCGGCAGACGCCTCTAGAGACGTACACTGAGGTTCTCGGCGAACTCCCAAGATTTTACCCATCATGCCATGCGAGTAGTGCTGGCACTCAGATGGTTCTTTCTCAGAAGCCAGGATTTGTTTTCATTAAAAGAAACACAGTCGAGCCGAGTGCAGGGCACCAGTGGCTCACACCTGCAAGCTACTCAGGAGGCTGAGATCTGAGGACCAAGGTTCAAAGCCAGCCTGGGCAGACAAATTCATGGGACTCTTATCACTCATTAACCACCAAAAAGCTGGAGGTAGAGCTGCAGCTCAAGTGGAAGAGCACCAGCCTTGAGTGGAAAAGTCAAGGGGGAGTGCAAATCCCTGTGTTTAAGCACCAGGACCAGCACGGTGGCGCTGCCTGTGCTGTGTCTCTGCCCTCTTCAGACCAGAGACAGTGGTTTTCAAAGAGGAGCGGCAACTTGTCAGAGGTGCAGACCTTGAGTCGGCATGGATAACTGAAACAGACCTGTGGGCAAGTTGGGGTTTGCTGGCGTGGAAGGCTCCTGTGGCCCTCCCTGGGCCCTCACAGCACAGAGGCAGCAGGCAACTGGATGACTGTGATGGAGGCTCAGTGTCATATCCCCATTTGCCTCTCCCAGAAGCCTAGGATGGGAGGGCGGAGGCCTCAACAAGGCCCAGCCCCTGCCCCAAGGATCAAAGATCACACCGGGATAAGCCTTAGTCCAAGACCAAATGGAGATGAAAGGGAGGATTGCGTCCTCCGTGTTTTTCAGATGCTAGCACTTAGTAGGACACTAGGTTCATAGTAGGTGCTCAGCATGTGTTCTCCAAGTAAGCTGACTGTAGAAGAAGGAATCTGACTCCACATGCTCGATAAGCTCTAAGACTTCCACTGTTCCAAATGCTGATTCTTACCCTTCAAATCCAGTCTCCTGGATGACCAATTTGACTTCATCACCCGTACTTCTGACATTCAAACTCAACTATTACTAAAGCCTTATGGTACTATTTGCTTTGTGCACGTAACATTCTTATGATGTCCCAGATACAACTCATCTGCAAAGCTCACGAATCAAGGTAGGTATGGCATTATACTCAATTCACAGATGAGGAGACCAAGGCTTCTGGTGGTCAAAGAACTTGCTGAAGATCCCTGGGGTGGCAAATGGTGGAGCCAGGAGTAAGAGGCGGGGCGGGGCCAGCATCCGCCCATCAAGCTGTGGACTCTTAGATTTGAATGCAGAACTATTCAAAGTCTCTCAGACCACTAAGATGGTATCTTGGTGCCTCTGGTATCCTTGTTCCTCCTGGTGAGTCTAAGTCCTGTGGCACATGAGAGGAGGCTGGCATGTCCCCCTTCTACCCACCAAGTGGAAATAAGCACCAATGAAGACTCTCCCAACTGGCATTTTGGTGGATTCCCAAAAGGATACTTCCTTTTAGCCTGCTATTCTTCCTTTCTCTTCCCTTCCCTTCCTTTTCTCCCACCCTCCTTTCCTTTGATCTTCCCTTCACCAGTCAAATGTTCAAGCTTTAAAGTTACTGCTAGAAATGTTTCCTAAAGAGGGCAAGCGTTGTTTGAGTTGAACAAAACTATAAACTCTGAGTCAAACTTCTTCCACTGCCAACGAGCTCTGTCTCCACCACCACCTGCCAGACACCACGGAGTGGAAACCCCAACCGCAGCCATCCCCTCGCGACTGCCGCCAGACCCATGGAGCGGGCCTGTTTCCTGTGGGCAGGAACTCCGGGCCACTGCAGCACAACGATAGGAAAACGCTGAGCAGACAACAATAACGGTGGGATAAACAGCACCCAGGTCTCTCGGTAAACCAACACATGTGCTGGAAGGGCTGTGCTGCTGTATTTACATTGCTATGCAACAGAGGAAAAACAAGAAGGTGATTTCAATGCAAGGCTCAGACACACAAAGAGCCATCGAGCAGTGTCGGCATGGAGACCTGGCGGATGTCGGACAGGCTCCTGGCCACACACGTACAGAGCAGAACTTAGGGTGCCACCAGCTTTACTTCTGTTTTGAAAAAAAACAGTGGTAAACATAATGGCCAGGGCTCCCTGAACTGCTCTGCTTTGTTTAGGAGACCAGAAGGGGACTGGGTGCCAGTGCTCATGCCTGTCATCCCGGCTACTCAGAAGGCTGAGATCTGAGTATCACAGTTCGAAGCCAGCTGGGGTGGGAAAGTCTGTGGACTCTTATCTCTAACTAATCAGGGAAAAGATAGAAGTAGAAATGTGGCTCAAGTGGTATAGCGCCAGCCTTGAGTGAAAAGCTAAAGGACAGTCAGTGTCCTCAGTTCAAGCCCCATTGTGGCCATGCATGCACACACAGACACACCAGCATGCATGCACACATATATACACAACATCAGGAGTATAGTGGAGAGCAAGAAAAACCCAGCCACTAAGCTGGGTGCTGGTGGCTCACACCTGTAATCCTAGCTACTCAGGAGGCTGAAATTTGAGGATCGCGGTTCAAAGCCAGCCCGGGCAGGAAAGACTGTGAGACTCCTATCTCCAATAAACCATCAGAAAACCGGAAGTGGCGCTGTGGCTCAAGTGGTAGAGTACTCGCCTTGAGCTGAAGAGCTGAGGGATAGCACTCAGGCCCAGAGTTCAAGCCCCATGGCCGACAAAAAAAAAAACAAAACAAAAACAAACAGCCAGTAGGCAGGTCTGTGTGCCAAGTTGCAGATCACAAAACACCTGCAGCCTCTGCCCAACTTCTGACACGGCAGGAGGTGCTGTCATGGGCGGTGGGGGGGGTGGTCTTCCTTCAGGAGGGCATCATGCGTGTGCACTTGGTACACACCATCACCAGAGGGACCTTCCCCGAAAGGAAGACATCACACGTGCACAAGTTATGCTCCAGGTCATGGCTGGAGCCTGTCTGGCCAGGAAAAGCCCTCCAAGCAGAAAAAACCAACCTCAGAAAGTAGAGCGTGTCTCCAATTCAGGCTCCTTTAAAGTCTCCCAGGAGGTGGGTCTCTAAGAACCCTACCCCTAACCTGAGAGAGAGCTGCCGTTCCAGCTTCTCCGTGCCAGGTACTGAATGATGAAACAATGAGGAGCCGGGCACCGATGAGCCTGGAACCCTACCTGCTCAGGAGGCTCAGATCTGAGGATCAGGATTGGAAGCCAGCTGGGGCAGGAGCTTGTGTGGGTGGGTACTGGACTTGAATTCAAGGCTCCAGACTGGCGCTCTACCACCTGAGCCACACCTCCACTGCCCGCCTTTTCCTGGTTCACTGGAGCTAAGAGTCTCATGGACTTTCCTGCCTGGGTTGTTTTTGAGCTTTGATGCTCAGGTCTCAGCCTGCTGAGTAGCTAGGACTGCAGGTGTGAGCCACCACCTGGCGGAGAGCAGTGTGTTATAGTTGTGATTATCTGCTTAGTAATTGAGTAGTGGCTCTCAAATCTGACTCTGGATGAAATTCCCTGCATGCGGTGGTGCCAATAGAAGGCTGGGCTCTCCCGCTCCTCCCTGCCCTCGCCCCTCCTCTCCCCGACAGCTGATTCAGCCGGTCCAGGGGGGCTGAGGATGTGCGTTTCTGACTAATTCAGGAGATGCTGAAGCTGAGTGGGATTCATGTTTGGGAAAGAACTGACCGCACAGCTCTGTGAAGCAGCGGGGAGGCGCAACGAGAACGTCCCATCTCACCAGCTAACCTACTTAAGCCTCCATGTCCTCGTCTGTAGAAACGGGGAGAGCCGGCTGCACATCACAACGGTCCCGAGGATGAAGCATGGCATGATGAGGGAGTGAGGGTGCACTGCTTTGATACATAAAAATGCAGGACAGATGTTCCACTGGAAAGCAAGGCTCCAGGGCAGCCCAGAGGAAGCTCGAACCCGGGCCCCAGCTTCCAGTCCCGCTGCTTTGGCGTGTGTAGGCAGTGAGAGCGAAGGGCACCCCTGTAGCCTGACATCCATAATTCACAGCTACTAAGATGCACAACATGGGCCTCCAAAAACGCCTCTCCTCATACAGTGTGCGGACAGCACTTCCACGGGCCCTGCCCGGCCCCTCCACACGCGTGTCCCGGCCGCACAAGTGGCGCCCACCTCAGCATGTTCGGTCTCCCGCACTCCTGCAGGAGGTCTCGAACCCCCTGCCCCCCGGGGCCCTGCTGGCACCCCAGCAGCCCTGCCGTGGCCCCGGGGTCTGAGCAGGACACCAGCTGGCCTCCATCTCCAGACCTCTCACGGTTCTCCAGGACCATGGGTCGGGAGACCCTGGGATGGGGGGGGGGGGAGGCGCTGCAACGCCCAGACGTGCATGACTTCATCTTGGGGAAGCTGGGGGGAGGGGGACACTGCCCCCTGGAAGCCCCTCCATCCTCCCTGGCCGTGCCCGCTCCTAGTGCCCGGCTTACTCGCTGAGCCAGAGACAGGTGGGCACCCACCTGTCCTGGATGGGGGTCACCCGGCGGGTCCCCGGTGGGCAGGCCAGGGGGGTCACCCGGCGGGTCCCCGGGGCAGCGAAAGGGGGTGTGTCCGGCACGCAGGGGCGGAGACGGGCCCCGGGCTGGGGGGGGGGGGAATTCGCCGGACCGCACCTGGCGACACCGGGCCGGAGGATATCCAGGGCCGGGCCGAGCGGGCGGCGTCCCCTCCGCGCCCGCCCGCGCCCGCCCGCGCCCTTTGTCTGCCGCCCGGCCTCGCCCTGAGCCCCAGCCCCGCTCGCCCGCCCGCGGCCCGGCCGCAGCCCCGGCACCGCTCACCCAGAAGAGCAGGTTGAAGCCAAGCAGCAGGTACTTGATGCACCGCAGGCCCCCGCGGAAGCGCCCCATGCTGCGGCCGCGGCTCAAGTCCTGCCGCCGCCGCCGCCAGCCGGGAGCGCGGCGCCGGCGGGAGGGCGGGGCGGAGCCACCAGAGCGGCGCAGGCGGGGCCCCGCAGGGCGCGGCCGTGGCGGGCGTGGCCTTGTACGGGCGAGGCCACTGGGCCGCGGGCGGGCCGGCAGCCTGGCGTCGGCCCACGGAGGGGGGCGGGGCTACAGGGATGGGGGAGTGGCCACACAGCCGGGGGCGGGCTCACGAGATGGGTGTGGCCGCGGGGGCGTGGTCACCGGAATGGGGCGTGTCTACGGGGATGGGCATGGCCTCATGGCCTGGGCAGAGCCCCAGATGGGGTGGGGCCACAGGCATAAGCATGTCCTCCCAGGTGGGGCGTGGTCACAGGAATGGGGCGTGTCTACAGGGATGGGCGTGGCCTCCAGGATGGGGCGTAGCCACAGGGACAGGGCGGTGGAGCAGGGCCGAGGGGGTCTTGGGCTGGAGTTTTAGCTGGGTTGAGAGCACTGCTTGGGGAGGGGCTGGTGTGGGGTTCCCTCAGTGTCTCTGAGTGGGACACCCCCTCCTCCCCTCCTGCGGTGCCCGTCATGTGTGGGGGTGGGGAGCCCACCGCCCGACAGGGCATAGAAACTCGGGAAAGCCACTTCAGATGGATGGATGGACAGACGGACCAGGAGGACCTAGGTCGCCCTGAGGATGGCAGAGCAGGCCAGGCGCCAGGCCAGGGCCCCGGGCTGAGGACGCTTCCCTAGGCCGGGCCTCGCGCAGGCCGGGGCCCTGCGCAGAGGGAGCAGGCGGTCCATGCGGCCCACGCGGCCTCCAGAGTGAGTACGCATCGGAGCAGGTCATTGTGCGAGCGCGCTCCACGCGGGCTCCGCTCAGGGATCCACGCAGGGTTCCAGGCAGGGACCCACGCGGGGCTCCAGGCGAGCTCCGAGTAGGGCTCCAGGCTGGTTCCATGCGGGGATCCACGCGGGGTTCCAGGAAGGCTCCAGGCGGGGATCCACGCGGGCTCCCCGCTGGCCGGACCTGGCCGCACGGCCTGGCTTTGAGGAGAATGGGCCTTGCAGACAAGTCCCCGGTGCCCCGACGGCCGTGAGAGCCCCGGCCCGGTCCCACCCGCGGGACACCCATCCCCAACTCAGGTCCCGTCACGGCACTGGAGCGCGGCCAGCGCGGGACGGGGAGGACCACGGGGAAGAACCAGGGAGGAGGAGGACAGGGAGGACCGAAGAGGAAGACAGGGAGGCCCGCGGGGGAGGAGGATGGGAGGACCGTGGAGAAGGAGGACTGGGGAGGCCCGCGGAGGGGGAGGACGGGAGGCCCACGGAGGGGGAGGACGAGGAGGACCACGGAGGAGGAGGACGGAGAGGCCCGCGGAGGAGGAGGACGGGAGGCCCGCGGAGGGGGAGGACGGGAGGCCCGCGGAGGGGGAGGACGGGAGGCCCGCGGAGGGGGAGGACGGGAGGCCCGCGGAGGGGGAGGACGGGAGGCCCGCGGAGGGGGGGGGGAGCGAGGAGCGACCGAGACAGGAGGCACTGGAGGCTGAGCTCTGAGGCCGGGCCGGGGTGGGGGGGGCGGGGTCAGAGGTCTGGGTGGGAGGCTGGGAGCGCACCGCCCCCAGTTCGAGCCCCGGCATCACTGGAACAACCAGTAGGCATCGTCAGGTCTCCGCGGGAAACGCACTCGTCCCTCACTGGGCTCCGATCTGCCGCCTTTGCCATCAATGAGAACCTTGAGAGGAGGACTCAGTACCCGTATCCGCAAAGGCCGGTCACCGGGACCAGAGGAGCATGCTGGTCTGTGTTGCTGGGCTGCACATCTCCTGAGACACATTCGACGTTATATATATGACTGTGTGTGTATATATATATATGACTGCATATCTATATGACTATATATGACTGTATGACTCTGTATATGACCATATATATATATATATATATATTACACTCTATGCTTCCTGGCGGCAGGACCTGCACAGAATACAAACACAGTCATCACACACTTCAGAGACACGTGATTTCCCATTTCAGGACAGTTTTAGTGTGTAAGCCTTGTCTTACACACTTATGGCCTGTCAAGAGCGAGACAAGCCATCAAGGCACGGTGAAAGATGACACATTTATTTACAAGGTCTACACCAGAAAGGCGGCCTGCCGCTACGTGGTCGGGCTGGATACCCAGCATCCATGGCAGCCTCCACCACCGAACCTCCCTCCAGGCCTCCGATGGGCAGCCCTTTATTAGCTGGTCTGCAGACCTCCAAACCTCCAGAGGGGCAGCTTTCCCTTTCTTCCCTTCCTCCTTCTCTGCAGGCCTCTCCACTCTCCACAGCCTGCCCTGCTCTGCTCCGGGGCCTCTCCACGGGCCCCCGGATGACCTCCGGAGGGGGCTCCGAATGACCCCCGGAGCTGGCTCCGGATGACCTCCGGAGGAGGCTCCAAATGACCCCCGGAGGAGGCCCCGATGACCTCCCGAGGAGGCTCCAAATGACCCCCGGAGGAGGCCCCGATGACCTCCCGAGGAGGCTCCAAATGACCCCCGGAGGAGGCCCCTATGACCTCCCGAGGAGGCCCCCCAGGCCTGCCTGCCCTAGTCAGACCTGCTCTCAGGACTCGGGGTCTTTTCCCTACTCCCCCTCACCCCCAGGACTCGGAACCGCAGCCTATATATAGGCCGCGCCACTCCCCCACGAATGGTTTCCAACCGCCTTTCATGCTCCTCCCCCAAGTTGCCCCCGTCCAATCCCCACAGGCGGCTCAGCATGTGGGGGCTCCATGCCCCACGCCCCTTGGGCGGCACGCCACGCCCCTCGGCGCCACACCCCTCTGGCGGCACGCCCCATGGGTGACGTCAGCCTCTCGATGCCCCGCCCCCTCCAGGCGGCCCAGTGGTTATGGGACCCACTGATCATTACAACATCTTAGGGGAAGCTGACCTTAGAAAAACTAGGCCAGTTTCCCTTGTGATTGGTTCAGAAAGCTGACGGACAGGTGTTCCAGCTAAAGGGGTGGGGCCTCCTGGGGCTCAGATGTCTGTCTATCTTCCTCCTCTCCCAGCTGGCGGGGCTGATCTTTCCCCACCCGGTACCTGCTGAGGCCAGGCTCAACTGGAGCATTGGGGACTATCACGACGTCACTGGCAGCCTCGAGTGCACACTGATGCGCGTGCACACACCGTGTCTTCAGAGGGCATGGCTGCCCAAGCTATAGAGGGCTTGTCTAGTAGAGGTTAGGCCTTGGGGGGTGGAGAGGCGCGTGGGGGACAGACAGACAGACAGACAGACGTAGGCATATATGGAGACAGGCAGAGAGGGACACACAGAGAGGAAGAGAGAACGAAATGATCAGAACTAACAAATCACCGGTTGCCTTGAGTGATAAAGCTAATGGATAGTGCTCAGACCCTGAGTTCAAGTCCCAGTACCCGCACAAAACAAAGGGGAACAATGTACCCCAAAGCAATGCATTTTTACGCTTAGAAGACTTTTCTCAAATGCCTTCTTATACTTGTCTGGACATAAATTACTAACTGGTGGTTAAAACAAATTAAATTTTTTTTTCTCCTGAGAACCATAAGGCTCTCCGTGTTAATCAATTTCTTCAAAATTAAGTTACTGTGAAAATTATTTTAGTATACAATCATTAAAATGGCTACTGGAGTTTTAAATGAACAATCATTAAACATGAAGGTAAAATATGACTGGAAATGACACCCATAATGGTATTTTTCTACTAGTTTATGCACCCATGAATGGAAATCATTTGTTTTTAGGGCACGCGGAGCTCAACAGAAATTCTCTCAATGGTTTTCACTGCTTGACAGTTTTTAGACAGACTCTCACCATATAGCCCAGGCTGGCCTCAGCATCTTGAACTGTCCCACTGTGCATGGTTCATTACTTTTGATATTAGTGCTGAGAAACACTGTTTAAAGAAGATGAGGATGAGAGAATTTACAGCAATGCCAGTTACTTCTTTAGCCCTCTGCTGAATTCATATATTGGTCTATTCTGTCTCTGTCTGTCTGCCTTTTTCTTTCTCAAGGCAGTCCTGGGGCTTGAACCCAAGGCCTCATGCTCACTTGTCACTCATCTGGTGCTCTGCCACTTGAGCCACACCCCCAGCCTAGTTGTTTAAATGGTTATTTTGGAGATGGAGTCTCATGGAATTTTCTGCCAAGGCTAATCTCGAGATCCTCTGACTCATAGCCTCCTGAGGAGCTAGGATGACAGGTGTGAGCCCCTGTACCTGGCTGGCAGAATTTTAATGTAATAATAATGTAATGTAAATGGTTCATTTTCCTTTGAAAAATGTCATTTCTGAATCTTTGGTTAGAGTTCTGCCCCTCCAGGGAGGCTTTCCTGGGCTACTGTTGGGGCTGTCGGGGTGCACAGGCTCCAGCCTGTGTCCCTGGCTCCTGAGTGTCCCTGGCGCCCCCGAGTGTCCCCACCCACAGCCAGGATCAGAGCACAGGACTTCCTTGTCGTGGGTTGCACATGGGGTTTACTTCCAGAATGGGAACTTCCTGGGAGGGGGCGGAAGGCTGTGGGGGTGAGGGTGTCATTGTTAACAGACTATTTTAGTGACATTTCAGGGTTCATGTCAGCAGTCCAGGCCACTGCCAGAGAACCCAAACTCCGGCTCAGGTGTCTGTGTTTCCATCTCTATAGATTCTCTTCCTTCAATGATGGCTCAGCATTGTGTGAGTGTAAGTTTGTGTGAGTGTGTGAATGCCTGAGTGTGTCAATGTGAGTGTGTGAATGTATGTGGCTGTGTGGCGTGTGTTAGCAATGTGTATGTTGTGTGTTAGTATGGGTATGTTGTGTGAGTGTATGTGTGTATGTAGATATGTATGTGTAAGTGTATGTGTGTGCAAATGTGGACTGGGTGTGTTTATGGGTGTGTTGTGTGTGAATGTGTGTGAGTGGGGATATGTGGTATTTGTGTATATGTAATAATTGTATGTGTGATTGTATGTGGTGAGTTTGTGTGTGATTTTGTTGCATGATTGTGTGTGACTATGAATGTGTGTGTGGCTTG